AGTACAAAGTAACCGTATTCTATAATTTATAGATTACAACTAAAAATGGAGTCGTTAAAAATATGGATAATTAAAACTTTAACATACCTTAGTAAAGTTTTGTTAATTTTTTATCGTAAAAATGCCTTTTTTTTAGCGCTTTTTTACATTTTTCAAGTTAATTTTTACATTAAAAAAAAATTTTTTTGTTTGAATATTGCTCAGCTTACCCAACCCATAATATAGTTTCTCCCCAAATGTATTTTTCAAAAATTTTTAGTATGACGTACCCTAATGTACAAGAGTTAAAAAAGCAAAGAAAAATCAAAAATTGCTACTTAAATGTATAATCAATTAGTTAGGGATAAAAAATTTATAAAAGCTTTACTAAAAGACGCAGGAAACATTTCACAATTTCACAACATTTTACAAGTTGAAACTGCTATAATTTTAAACAAATGTTATCAAGATGTATTTGTTATTAAGCCTGATGGTGTTCCTCCTAAGTTTGACTCAACAAAAAGCAAATGTGGTACAAATTTTTTTCTGATCTATCTCCTGACGAAATTAATTAACAAAAAGTTTTTGCACCTGATAAACTTCTCCCTGCTATGTATAAGAAATCTTCAGAGACGTACTTCCTTCAACGTTAATCTTCAGCTTGAATACTCAAGCTAATTCCTAATTCAATTTAGATCTTTAAAAATAAATCCTCTGATCAAAATTAGATATAAAGTAGTTGCAGCTTATTATAGACCAGTTCTACTTATTTGAGTTTTATGCAAAATACTAGTAGGTATTAATCTTAAAAAAATTGAAATTTACTTTTACAAAAACAATTCACTAACAGAATATGAACACGGTTTCATAAAAAATAAGTCATGTACAACAAATCTATTGGAAACAATTCATTTTATAAGATTAAACATTGAAAATCATTCTCTAGTTGATGTTGTTCTACTAAATTTTGCAAAGGCGTATAACACAGTTTCCTATAACAGATTGTTACTTATATTAAGAGGTTTTGGTATTAATGGAATAGTGCTAAAATGGATTGCATATTTTTTCACAAATAAGCGAAGAAGAAGAAGCAGTTAAGGGTGACGTTGTCTTTAATTGGGTTGAGGTTTTTAGTGGTGTGTCACAGGGTTGTATATATTAATGATTTTACAGACACAATTAAAAATGTTTCAAAATTATTTGCTGATGACACCAAATTTTATCAATAGTAAAATCAGATTTGTGTTTCAGAGAAATCCAGAGTGACTAGAATAAACTAAAAACTAGTTGTTGAAAATTATCACAAACAAGTGAGTTATGATGCATTATGGCTCCACCAATAAAATTTATTCACTTTTTATTATGATATACAAACTCATAACTCTGAATCTGAATGAAATCATAGAATTTTTTTTTTGAAAATTTTAATTAGAAGGACCAAGTAAAGAAACTGTTTACAAGTGTCGATTGTCAACTTGTGAGATTTATTTAACTATTATTCTTACACTTTTTAAATTTACAGTTACGGTTTGGTCTTCCTGTTTGAAATTAGACTGAATACAATTGACAAAATACAACAAAAAGCAACTTAAATTTATTTTGTTATCGACTTATTGCCTTAGGTTTGAAAACCCTATAGAAAAAATTGAAAAAACGGAGATTTAGTAGAATTATAAATACTTATGCATAGTTTAATAACTGTTTAATATGGCATTGCTTTAAATACCAAAATAAATTTGCCAAACATCCTTCAAAGGAATATTTTTATTCAAAGGGTTTTTAGCAAATTTATTTTTTTGAAGAAAACTTATTGAAGTGTCTACATATGTTAATTAGTTAGTTTCTTCTCTCATGTCGAAAAATAAATCCTAGGAGAGCTAGTGTTTTTTTAAATATATTTTCTTCAAAACGAAGCTGCAACCAACCACTATTAGAATTGGAACACACTGAAGGAGAAAATATGAAGTTTATAAAGTAAGACAACGATTAACAGACAAATTAAATAGTTGCAAATTATATAAATCAGAAAAACAAGATAAAGTATGGGAGTTCCAAAGAATCTAGTTTTTTTCCTATAACATTTATTTTTGTCTAAAATAAAATTAGACAAAAATAAATCTTTGGAGCACTTAGAAAAAGTCACAGTCAAAGGATGAGATTTAAGTTAAAGCTCTTTACCTAAAGCTTTTATACACTCTTATGCCAAATTGTTCTTCAAAGAACCTTTAAGGGTTTTTTGCGTTGACGTCCGTAGAGATTCTTCAAAGTACCCTTTGCAAAGGTTTTTCGGAAGAACCTTAAAATAAGGTTCTATAAAGAAGCTGTTAGAGTTCTTCATCAAATGTTTTGCATTATTACTAACGTTGCACGGATATTTTTTCGACCCTTTAAACATTTTTTATTATTAAATATTTATATAATGTATAATTATTTAATAGATTTTAAAAAACTAAATTATTATTTTTTACGATATTTAAGTTACTTGCTTAAGGCCAATATAAAAATGTAAACAATGACTTTCTAAATATTTAACATATATTTCAATCTGCGGCAATAAGGGAAACAAAATATTTTTAAAATATTTATATAAACATTTATAAACAATTTGTAAAAATAAATTTTAATTTACAATCCAATATGACTTGATCTTCAATTATAAAAAAAAGAGGTGTTTTCTTGTGTTAAATCCATTGTCCAATATATAAATGCTTTTGCTTAAAATTAGATGTACAAATAAACGTGAGATTTCTGTTGTCGCATTCGTTCGAAGAATTATCTAAAATTCAATAATAGAATGAATATATATATATATATATATATATATATATATATATATATATATATATATATATATATATATATATATATATATATATATATATATAAAATTATTAAATAAATTAACAATATGTCAAAACATAGTTTTGACATATTGGCCTTCATCAAGATTAATTCTTTCGTTTCGTGAAGAGCACATGGTGTTTTGTATTTCTAGTGCCTCTCTAATTTTTCTTTAAAACTTGATGTTTTAAAATAATATATAAGATACTCTCATACAAGATATCATCTTTCAAATATATATATATATATATATATATATATATATATGTATATATATATACATATATATATATATATATATATATATATATATATATATATATATATATATATATATATATATATATATATATATATATATATATATATATATATATATATATATATATATATATATATATATATATATATATATATATATTATGTTTATATATATATATATAATATATATATTTACATATATATAAATATATATATATAAAAATATAAATATGTATATATATATGTATGTATATATATATATATATATATATACATATATATATATATACATATATATATATATATATATATGTATATATACATATATATATATATATATTTTTTTTTTTTGAGACATTTGATAAAGTTCCACATAAACAACTGTTGAAACAGTGCAAAGCATATGGTATCAAGGGTTCATTACTTAGCTGGATATAGTCTTTTATAAACAAAAGTAGGCAAAGAGTACAAATAAAATACATCTAGGTAAATTGCATATAGGTAAAAAGCATCTAGAAAATGCATTTAGAAAAAAAGAAGCATCTGCAAATGCATCTAGATTAAAAAGATCCACAAATGAGTTACAGGTGACACATGACGACAATAAGTGTAACTTAGATACAACAGTAAATGAAAAATATTAAGGCATAGTTATTTCATTCAACTTTAAACGGCACAATCAGGCGGCTTCAGCGACGCAAAATCGCAAAAAAGCTTTAGGTCTAATTAAAGGTACATTTACATACTTTGATGTGGAAACGGTGAAATCACTATTTACGAAATTTGTGAGACCACATTTTGAGTTTGCTGTACCAGCAAGAAAACCTTATTAACAACGTGATATAGACGAGTTAGAGAAAGTGCAATAAGAGCAACAAGGTTAGTCACACAACTCAAAAAGATTTTAAATGAAAAAAGACTAGAAGTTATTGGTTTAACAATATTAGAATACAGAAAAGCAAAAGAAGATCAAAATATTGACAAAATAAGTTGGTACAAAAATCCACAATTGGCATTATCCTTGACTCGTTCAGGCCCGGCTTCTTCGATTCAGGGCAACAAATACAAGCTACAAAGAGAATACGTACTACCATGTTTACCGAGATATAATTTCTTTACCAACCGAATTTGTAATAATTGAAACTTGTTACAAAATGAAACCAGAAACAAGTTGTTGAATGTTTTCAAAGTGCGAAGAGAAAAATATTATTGGTAACTTGTGTTTTTAATTGCATGGGTGTCGTCTATGACACGGTGCTTGCATCGTGTTCCACAGTTTATACTATTTTTAAATATTTTATTACATTTAAAAAGAATTAATTTTTACAGCATTTAATATGACTATTCTACTATTACTATACGTAGTACGAGTTATGTTGTAAACTTTTATGCACTACTGGTAATATTGTCATATGATGTAGCATTTAAACATAGATATATATTAATTTTATTAAATTATTCTAGATATAAAGTGATTTTAACAAATTAATTTTTATATGACAGGGAATGTTAAATTATTATTTATTTGCAATATAATTTTGAAAAAAAAAATTTAAAACTGTATGCATATATATATATATATATAAATATATATATATATATATATATATATATATATATATATATATATATATATATATATATATACATATATATATATATATATATATATATATATATATATATATATATATATATATATATATATATATATATATATATATATGTATATATATATATATATATATATATATATATATATATATATATATATATATATATATATATATATATATATATATATATATATATATATATATATGTATATATATATATATATATATATATATATATATATATATATATATATATATATTTATATATATATATACGTCTTTTTGTTTTAAAATAAAATGTAGATGGAGCTAGTCATTCAGAAATCAATGAATTTAAAGAAGAAATAAATCTCATGAAAAAAATTGGATATCATCAAAACATAGTAAATATGTTAGGCTGTTCTACAGTTAAAAAACCTTTATGCCTGATTGTTGAGTACATGGAAAATGGTGATTTGTTGCAGTTTTTACGTGACAGACGTGCTAAAGTAGATTAATTTGTTTTTTACTTTTATTTTTTTAATTATATAGTCACTGTATAGTGCATACTGAGCCAATAATATGAAGAATTAACCCAAATACACACTAAACTTGTATCACCTGTCTTTATTTGTCAATGTTTTTCTTTTATGGTAATTGTTTGAAGAGGGAGCAGACAAATATTTGTTATTTTACCTCATTTGCTATTTTAAATTAAATCTTGCGTGGTTGATACTTTAATTTAAATTTTTTCAAAAACCTAAAAATACTCCTGATATGTCTTAGGTAGCACCTTTCTTTTTAAACAGGAAAAAATATAAAAGAAAAAAATATAAAAAACCGTTCGTCATTACTTAGATGTTTGAACTTTGGTTGTTACTTTTCAAACAACAAGCAAATCTCAAACATCTGAGTTATGAGGAACGGCTTTCCGAAATGAACTGACTATATTCAAGATTAGACTCCTGCAAACTTCAAATTACAATACAATGACTACAATACAATAATACAAAAATACAAATTGTTAAACAACATTGAGCGCATTACATGGTTTAAACCACAAATATTTGCGCTGCTATTTGGACCAAATAAACCAGCACCAGCTTGAGGTCATAATTTCAGAATCATAAAAAAAATACCAAGGATTCTTTCAGTCAAGAAGCCTTCATCGGTAATCATATTGCAAATAAAAGGTACACCATAAAAATTGAAGCTATAAATGCCCAGTAATTGAACTATTTTAAAGCATAACTGATAAGATTTCTATTAAAAATTTATAATGTTAACGCGATATTTTGGATTTAAAACATAATTTTAAATTATTGTAAATAAAATGGAGTAATGTAGGCTGTCATAACACATGTCTCACCATAGATGCATAATATACCATATACTTTTTTTCGACGCTTATATTACCATATATGCTTTTCATGATTCAACTTGGCACAGTATCTATCTTACTATTATTTTTCTATTTAATACCCAGCATTATAAAATCAGTTGAAAATACAAATTTTTAAAATAATGTCGAGAGAACTTAATTCAAAAGTTTTAATGATATTTTAAAGAATTAGATGAAGAGTGTGACATTTTATACTTAATTTATTGGATCCGGGTTTTTTTAACTGTATGAGTAAACTTTTTATGGTTTTAACTCAATATTGATATAGACTGAACATAAATTTGATAAAAACTTTAATGGAAAAAGACGATTAAAATATGGCCGTTTTTATCAATTTTGTAGTTTTCGAATATTTGTGCTATTAGAACAATATTTGTTTTCTGCGCACTCAAAGTTTTTATGAGGTTAAAACCAGTTTTTATGTTGTTGTGTTTAGTTTTGTTTTGTTGTATTGTTTTGTGTTTAGTTGTGTTTTTATGTGGTTGTGTTTAGTTTTGAATTATTAAGATTTCATTTTTTTTCTAATATATAATATTTATAATAATACAAAAATATCTAATATAAAAAGGTAGTTAAAATATTTAGAGTTTTATTAATTTTTTTGTTAAATTAATTTCTCCGAACAAAAGCCTTCATTCTCAACCCTAAAAACTTAGCTAAATCTACTAAAAGAAATAAAAACTCAGCTCAATCTACTAAAAGGTTGTATATTAACATATTTTTATGTAAAAAATTTATATAAAATAAACTTTATATTCTATATTTTTTATATCCTTTCTTCTTAATTCTATCACATAAAAACTCTTTATCTGATTCTAAATACACATTCATTTGTCATTGATTTAAAATTTCACTTAATGTCACAATATAAAAGAGCTGTATATGATAAATAATTATGAATATATATGACATTTAGCGTATATATGTAAAAAAATTACAATAAATCTAAAAACGTTATTAACAAAACTTTTTCAGTCTTAACTCCAAATTTAAATTCAATTTCTGCAGTACGAAACTCAGTCCTTTTTATTTTTTAAAAACAAGACTTTTATTTCACAATTTTTTTTTACAATTTGACAGTTTTCAACTTTTTTGAGTTAAATCAAACTTTTTCCTTTATTTATATATACATTTATTTATATTTATATTTATTTATATATACATTTATTTATATTTATATTTATTTATATATACATTTATTTATATTTATATTTATTTATATATACATTTATTTATATTTATATTTATTTATATATACATTTATTTATATTTATATTTATTTATATATATATATTTATTATAGGCAGGATTCTCTAAACTATATACAACATAAAATATATATGACAATATGACAATATTTATTGACACTCCCTAAGTGTGGACCATAGATTTCAAAAGTTGAAATAAAAAAGAATTTTAAACAAAAATTAAAGTTTTTAAACATCAGCAATAGAATAAGCATAATATGATTTGGTGTGTTGCTAAGCGCTCGTGCAATAGCGCTTTGCTTTAACTTTTATATATTTAAAAAAATCAAAATAATGATCTATAATGATAGTTAAAAGTACACTTATCAACAAAAGCAAAACAAATTTTTAAAGTCTAATCATAACCATGTTTAATATATCCCTTAGTCACATTATATATTTTTCATACGTTTTTTATTTAATTTTCATATGTTGATAATCTACAAACAGGTAAACAGACGGTAGAAGAGCGGTTTTAGGTTTAAAAATGAAGCAATGCAAATCTTGATGGAAGCTGAACTCCAGTAGCAAAAATAGCATAATTACTTAAAAAAATTTGAAAGTAGCTGTTAAGCTTGTAGCTGTCAAACTAGTGGCTTAACGGCCAGTTTCGGTTATAACACGCGAAAAAGTTGCCAGAACAATTTGGATTTGTTGAAACGCTGCATGCATCATGTAAACGTGTTTGTTTCAAAGGAAAGTAATGGTATGGTAAAATAAAAAAAATAAACGACATAAATTTAAAAGATTATAGAGCAATATACGTTTTGAAAATTTTTAAAGATGTCCTCTTTTGTAAAGAGGTTCATTCACAATTGTTGTAGTAAAGAAAAATAGTTGGAATAATAAAGCTGAAAAAATTATAGAAGTGGATTTAGTAAATATTAAGTTACTACGAGAAGCTAGCGTGCTAAAATCTGATGGGGAACTCACGCAGGATGAATAACTACTTTGAAGATGTACCGACAGGGTTTTAACTAATTCAACAAATAATTGAGTTAACACACAAAAACGTTAAGCGGAGTAATAGAAAAAACCGTGGGTAGCATAGCAGAAAAATTCTGGATACCAAATTTAAAAGCTGCCATAAAAAAGATTATTCTTGAATTTAATTTTTGTGAAACCACTGTTCCCACTAACAAGAGCAGTGTTACCACGCTTTAGAAGCGACAATATAGAACCGTTTGCAGTTACTTGTGTTAATTTTGTCGGTCCACTAAAATATAAAAATCCAGATAAATCAGAATGTAAAGCAAAAGCGGAAACCTTGAGAAGAGCCACCAGACGGGCTAAAATGGACGCGATAATTGGATATTGGGTACAAAAAATGAAGTTAAAGTAATCCTGCAAACAAAATTTATCTCAACAATACTACTCTTCTCTATGTAAAGAATTTTATCAATACACAGTTAACAAAAAACCCGTTATATTCTTAAAAAACATAACGGGAGTTTTCCTCGCACAAAACGGTTAATTGCCGTTATGGTTAACACTTAATATGTATGAAAATAACATAACGGGTTTAGCTTTATGTTTTATCATAGCAAAATTGCCTTGAACATAACGGTTACATAACGCCAACTTACCGTTATGTGCGAGGAAAACTCCCGTTATTTAACGGGTATTTTACCGTTATGTTGAAAACCTAATATAACGGGTATTTACCCCTTTATGTTACCCGTTATGTAAAATTAAAATTCTCTTTTTAAAGAAAAAGCGTAATTCTGTATGATTATTTGCAGTACTAAACAAAAAAACCTGTAAATATTTTTATGTCAATAAAAGTTAAATAAGAAAAAATCATACCGTTTATTTCATAATATATTTATATTATATTATTTTTCATAATCGTTCAATTTTTTTACAAAATAATTGAGAAAATTACATTATTAGCATTTATAAATTCAAAAGAACTTTGTATTGCTATGAAAAAATGAAGAAAAATCCAATAAAGCCAAATGCCCGAAGCTTCAAATACCTTTGTAAGATCCCAGAAGCTGTCCAAAACAAAAATATACATCTGATCATATGTACTGATCAAGGGCTAAACAAAATTTTAACACCTCTTCGACTCTATAAGGTAGTTCTTTTAAGTATTCATGTAGTCAATCGCACTAAAATATTATAAATGCAAAATAAATTGTATAACCATAAAAGAATAAATAATTATTAATACATTAAATGGATTAAAATTTATGCTAAGTTATATTTTATAGAACTTTCTTAATACCTAATAGAAAAACTAATAAAATTTACATCAACTTTCATAAACAATTTATCAGAACTGGTAAATTGTTTATGAAAGTAAATTTTATTAGTTTTTCTATTTTGTATTAAGTAATTTGGTATTACTGTAAGCAAGACAAGAAATACTGAGTACTGCTCTTTTGCCCAAAGTTTAAATTGATTTTATACTGTCACCCTTATCCGGTTTCATTCAATATTCACAACAATTCATTATTCTTCAACTTCCAACTAAACTTATATTATAGCAAACTCCAATTTACACACACAAGAAAAAAGTTTAACAAATGTTGAGGTATATCACATATCCAACCTTTTAGGGTATTCTACATATCCTGCCCCTGAAGGTAGAAAATTATAGCCCTTAAGGTACAACATTATACCTTTAAGATATCGAATTGTACCACATATGACCATTTTGGTATAATTTTCTACCTTAAAGTTGTAATTTTCTATCTTAGAGAGGTAAAATATACGATAAACCTTGAAAGTAGAAATTTCTATCTTTTTTTTTTAAGTGTGCATGAAAAGAATGTCTTTGAGGATTTAGTTTATTTTCACTCGCAAAGCCATAACGAAAATGTAATGCTGTTTCAGAAATCACTTATTTTTAAGA